GGGGGGTATATGTGCCAAGATCAACTGCACTTCCATCCAACTGGGGGCTGATAACAATAAATTCAGATTTGCCTTCATTAAGTGTCACATTAAGTGTCTTAGTAAAGTGTTGGGCTACCACTTGCTTCCAGAACAACTTTAATGTGCCTTGGCATTGATTCTACAAGATATTCCTTCATCTAGCACTTTGATGATGATGGTGGTGGAGATGCTGTCTAAAAAGTCGGTCCAAAATCTCCCATAGGTGTTCAACTGGGGTAAGATCTGATCACTGTGTATATGGTTCACATCATTTTCATACTCATGAAACCATTCAGTGACCACTCGTACCCTATGGATGGGGACACTGTCATCCTGAAGAGACAACTCATTTATTCAGGTTTTTTACTTCATCCATCTGTATTTTGTCTTCTAGTCAGTTAACTGCTATTATTAGGCCAAGTCTATATTGTGTTCACTACTGTTTTTAATGCAATCATGACATGAAGAACATCTTTCCTTTGCTTACCTTTTGAGGACTTTACACGGCTGCAGTATCTCTCTAGTGCTTCATGGGTGTTATAGTTGCACTTGGCAAGCTCATACAAAGCCTATGTGGAAAAGTAGAGCAGTCAGGACAAATATTATCAAATATGAATCACATGTACCGTAGAAACTAGTAAACAAAATAATTCAAAAATAACCTGAAGAAATTTTAAATATGAACTGATATGGTAAATCAAAGTTAATGACAAACAATGTTGACTACATAACCTCACATACAGTGGGTATAGGGGAGAGAAAAAAATAAATCACTCGCTTTCAAAACATTCACATTTAGCTGTTTAACAGCCAGTGGGTCAAAATGTGGGCTACATGTTCTAAAAACATCATGCTTTCACTGTGCAATAACTTTCTTTTATTTTTTTCTGCCCCTGCAGCATGTCGTGATATCTCAGACGCTCTCCTGACGCAGCCCATAAATCAGCCAAAACAGTGATAGGCACCAATATACACGTGTGTGTACATACACACACATATACATTTTAGTATGAATTTTTTTTCAGTTCAAACTATGTTAAAAAGTTTTTTTCAAAAAAAAAAAAAAAAAAAATTGTCAGCCTTATGCCATACAATCCAGACCTCTGGAGTATTTGTGATATTGTCGTTACATGCACAAAATGACCACCATAATTTTGTCCCTGAGATCTTTCCCACCCATAACAGACCGTTTGCTTTCAGTTGCACCACCAAGCACTGGAATGCTCTAGGAATAGCTTCATTTATTCTGAACTAACTGAAATCATTCCATCTGATCACAGGTGATCCAGAATGTGATTAGTTACATGTGCATTTACAAGTACTCATCTGGGAGTAGGGACATGGAGGGTTGATCCTTCTCCAAATCAAGTTTTTTTTATAATTTTTCAGAATTGTTTCTTTTGAGTAAATAAAGCTGCAAAAATTGTTTTGTTTTCCTTTCCAGATGTGAAACAAAATGTGAATATTTTGATAGGAGGTGATTCTTTTCTAAACCCACTATACATGAAAACAACAACATAAAAGGCTTAATGAATAAAGATATGACTGACCTGCTCATCGTCTCGAACATGCATCCCTGATTTGTCACATCCTGTCTTTTCACCTGTCGTTCGTGACAACACTTCAGACAGGAAACTTCTAACTTTGTTTTCTGGCAATGTACCTGGGCTCCATAATAACTCATCTTCTTCTTCATACACTGCAAAACGAAAGAACATTACAGGAAGATTAGTCATTTTGTGTATATTGTCTTTACTGTATAGATAGAAACACTGAAAGCAATTAATTACAATAAAGAATGCAGGAGCACTCACCTTTCTCCCCATCTTTGTAGTGACAGAGACAAGAAGGAACCTCTGCTTGGTACTCTAACCCCACCATTATTTCCTTTAATTAAAAAATATATATATACAAAATGCATATTTAAACTCAAGAGCAAACTAGTAATGATTCAACTTAAAACATGAAGTAAACTTTGTTTATCCCTCTCTTAATGTGTTCCAAAATGTACTGCCATTTACCTTTCTGGAGTCTTCTAGGCTTAGGCCATCTTCATCACACTCCGACTCTTTATCACCATCAGAGATAGCATTGGCTGACAAAATAAACAATAAATAAATACCATTGCACACACTGAATTCCAGTAGCTTTTCTCAGGCTGGGCGCTGATGTCTGGCGCTTTAGCTGTTAAATTTGGTACTATAATAGGTGGCACAGACATTGCCTCTCATTCAATAAAAACACCTTATACATCACTACACCTACATTTCTATTTCTTAAAGAAAATATACACTGGTACAAAACTAATTCAACACCTGGCCATATTATAAAGCATTATAAATAGGGAAGGATATCATTCATTTCATCTTGGTACATTCAGTCACATAAAAGGCACTTTTAGATATATTGTTGACATCTGTGACTTGCCCATCTCATGCATCAGATAAAAATCCAAATTATCAAATGTATTAATCCACACAGCCTCAGACACACAAGATGTTTTTTTTTTTTTAATGCTTCATCTATTTTTTTTTCCTCTGGCTCATTTAGCGAAGCATAATCTCAACAGACAGCTGTTTAAAGCACACAAATCCCCTTTAATTTTTGTGCTGCAAACTTTTTAATGATATCTGCTATGAATTATCATGCTCTTGGTGTCATTCTGAGCTTTCTGGTTTCATTTTCCCTGCCTTCTGTAGCATGACTGGGAACTAACATCAATAAACCCATACATCAAAATATTGTTGATTTTGTCTTCCATTTCTGCTGTTGGTCAGTCTGGTGAAGAGAAGTCACTGTCGACTGAACAGATCAAACGCTTCAGAAGCGCGGCTCATGTCTCATTTTTGGAGTGATTACCCAGTCGCTGCATTACCTGGCACCTGTTGTCCAGTGTGAAGACTATAGCAATTCAACGAAAATGCATCATATGAGACTGGCTGACAACGATGTTTATGCTTTCAATCCCTGCCATCAGATCACTGGTTATTTGATCATTTAGGGCTACCCCTTAATAGTTGATTAGTGGAGTCATTAGTCAAGAGACCTGATGCTCTTCTAGTTGAGCCTTTGTTTCTATTTTATTATAGTTTGTTTTTTGTCAGCCAGTGTGCATTACAATAAAGGGTAGACCGAGCCCGGTAGTTTGTCAACTTCTCCTCATTTTGGTGTACCAAGCAGCAATTCGCTCAATACTTCCCCCTGTAGTCAGGGGAAATACCCACTCAAACACTGATACTGTCCAATACACAGATGTACATTAAGGTCAGAGCAGTTCAGCAAATTGCAGAATGAGGAGACAACAAAACCTACTAGGACAAGCCACATAAAGGTGAAATTTGTACTTTATTAGAAGTGTTTTCAAACATCATGGTCTACATTTACAAGAGAAAAGACTGTTGTGACAATGTGGCTGGTTTTACATAGCCTAATGTTATGTGAGTCCAGTTTGTTTACTCATCTCTGTTAAAGTGCAAACCACATCCATCTCCTGACTGTTGCTGCAACATGCTTCCATCAAAACAGGACTAGGAAGCTAACAAAAATGCATGGGGAAAACATTTCGATGGATTATAAATAAGAGGAAGCATTTGCAGTGCAAGCTGGCACACATCAAATGCACAGTAACGTGGTTTACTGAAGGGAGACACTTAAAGTCCCCATGGCACGCTTATTTTGCTCATTTCCAACTATTTAATGTTTAATCTTGGGCACCTCTAGATTAGCTTTGCAGCCATCATAACTCCAAGCAGCCTGTAATTATTTCAGAAAGATAAAACCTGAGAGCCTCCTCCTGCAAACAAGATACATAACGTGTGCAACCCCTGCTGCCAGTGTTGTGTCGAAATCTTGACTGCTCAGTGTACTGAGACCTATTTGATGATACACAATGTCAGGCTGCCATACAGATTTGTTGGACTATCAAGACAGGCAGCACACTTGCATTTCTGTTGAGACAACACTCTTTTAGGCAAAATTTTCTTCAGAAACATGGTTATAGCCCAGTTTGCCAACAAGTTTAAGCTTCTCTCATCAGTTAACCACAGCACATAGTTACATTTGATTTATAATTCCTCAGTTATGTGTTATCCCAGCACATTTCTGTTAGCTTTCTAGTCTCATTCAGATGGATGCATGTCACAGAAACATAAGATAAACAGTTATGCATTGATCTTTAACAGAGATGGGCAAACCCCCGACACACATATGCAGAACCAGCCACATCACTGTGACAGTCTTTTCTCTTGTAAAAGTAGATCACAATGTTTGAAAACACTTTATTTTAAAAGTGCAAATCATACCTTTATGTGTGTTGTCCTAGTGGTTTTATTGTCTTTTTCGCCTTGTTCTGGGCAGCAGTTTGCTAAATAGTGTCGTAAGACCTTAATACACCCATGCACCGGAAAGTGTCACTATTGAAGTGGGTATCCCCCCTCCCAATCACAGGGTGAAGCATTGAGCAAATTACTGCTAGGCACACCAAAATGAGGAAAAGACAATGACAAACTAATGGGGCTACCTTCTGTTGTAATGCACACTAGCTGACAAAAAAATATAATAAAATTTAAAAAAAGGATCAACTAGAAGAATCTCAGTCAACTGACAGGTCTCTCGACTAATGATTCGACCAGCTGACTTTTACAGGGTAGCCATAACTAATTCACAAAATTTTCAAAATGTACATTTCCAATTGTTATATATGTATAATTTTACTATTTGTATTAATATGAATATAGTAGTTTATTTTTAATTAGATGCTGCATTAGATTTAAGCTAAGGTCAAGAAATAAGTTCCTAATATGTGTAAACTGCCACTTACATCGAAGTGTTCTTGGGAAGAAATCAGTGGCCTCGTGGGAGGTGACTGAAGGGGTAAGATCATCAGCTGAGGACTGGGTCTCCTCCTCGTAGTCTCCAGACAGCAGGTCTTTAGCTATTTCCTCCTAGGGAGAAAGATTTCATTGCATATGGAGACAGACCAAGGGTGATAAATGGACTATCTGAATTATATATGAAGATAAAAACATTTACTTCTAATAATTTTCCTTATCTATTTACTGACTATATAACAACAGTTAGTTACCTTGTCCAGAGTCATGTCAGGCAGCTCATCAGTCAGGTCTCCAGAGGAGCTGTCTATACTGGAGCCTGCTGAAGCCTCATAGCGATAGATGGCCAACAGTTCCTCCAAAGGCATGTTTCCTTCCTGTTGGAGGGGGGAGATATAGGAAAGGTTAGCATGGATTCCCCCTTTTAAAATTTACATTAAATTAAAACATCATGATTGACAAGTCTCTGACATCCCACTTAACTGTAGCTCTATGACTGCTCACACTTTTTTCAAGGAACCAACCAATTATTTTTTCAATACATAAACTCAGTCATAACACACTAATTCACTGTAACCAAAAGATAACTTGTGAATGTCACTAAGAGATTGAATGTGCACTTAAACTTGATTGACCTTTATTACTTATGACATCTGCATCTATAAATCAATCAGCTTCCATTTATCATTAAAGGTCACATCAGTAATTGTCAAATTCTTACAGTAGTAAGCTTAACCCCCACCCAATGACAACACAGCTTTAATATTTGCAGCCCTACCGCACCAAGACGACAGTGCACTCTTGTTTTCACATGTATCATAAATACACTTATGCACACATGCAAATATAACTATTTAAAATCACAGCAATAATTTACATAAGAATCATTTACACAGGTAAAACACATTTTAAGGAATTTATATATTTAATAGTTTACCCTTTCCAGATCTGCAATCTCAGAGCTAAAATTCCTCCCTCCATCCAGAGACTCTTCCTCCTCCAGAGTCCTCTCGTCATCATACTCATGAACTAACATTTCTGCTGTTGGGTCGAAGTCATGGTCCTCTGAGGATAAAGAGCCGACTGAGAGAAGGAGAGAAAAATCCATAAATGTCTATCATCACACACCTGAGCTTTTGATTCAAGCTGATTAAAGCTATTTTGGAAAGTAAAGACACCAACTTCGGGACACATTCACAAGTTACTCTGTGAAACAGATTACATTTAGTCAAATTCAACGCCATTTTATTTGTCCAAATTATGCATTGCACAATGTGCAAATAGTGTAATTTCATCTTGATGTGCTGCTCCGCAAAATAACACGATTAAAGTTAGCAAAGTAGAAAAAATGAAATAAACAGTAAATACCAATACTCATTTCACGAAGGATGCTTTCTTACCTGGACTTGAACTCCCTAGGGAAGCCTGAAAAAAGAGCATAATTGAGTACAACGTAGGTTTAACTATTGTGCAGACGCATAAACTTAAAATATTACAGCAGGTGGAGTTACAAAAATGCATTTAATGGCCTGTACTATGGTCACATAAAATAGTTGGGTAGGAAAGCCGTATTTACCCCTAACCTTACCTCAAATAACTGGGTAGCTACAACGTTAGCCGGGAAAGGACGCTTACACACTGGGGATAACTGAACCGTGGTTTTAAAACCTGGACTTAAAAGTATTCCCTTCGTTAGACACGATCAGAGTCAATACAGAGGAATATCTTCACGGAAAAAGTACGATTTATCCAGTGTCGGCTCCTATAACAGTTAACTAGCTAGCCAGCCAGCAAGCTAACTCCAAAGCCTAATGTTAACGTTATGCATCGAAAAATGTAAACAAATTCTATGCGCGGTACTGCAGTTGATATAGCTGAACTATTTTTCACAATTAAAGTGTCGCTAAGTTAACGTAACTGGAATAAAATAGTTATCCATTCATGTCGACCACGACATAATCTGTTTCTTTTAACCAGCAAGCTAACGTTAAATTTACATATCAATTTACACAGCCGCTACACCATAGCAGCTGAGCGAAGGCGCAGCGGCCTTGTAGTGAAGGATCGGTTCAGACATTTAACCATATTTTTGAGAAATAAAATCACCAATTATGACGCAAAGCGCGCTATATAGAAGGCCAAATCCATCTTTTCTTCAATCGATAACATAAAAATGAAAAATACAACACACAAGATTTAAAAATATCGATTTAAGATCGACTGCTTCACTCCTGTTTTCCCTCTTACCTCCGCCATATTGGTACCTTTAGCTAATGGGCTCGTTCTAGCGCAGTACCCGGATCAGCGCTCTGAGCCAATCAGATGTCTAGGTGAACCGTTCTAATCGTGACGCCGTTCAAACCAATCACTTATCAGACTAACGGCAATCATTTATAGACAGTATTACAATATCACAATAATATTACTTAGAAATTAAATTACCCGTACATACCCAACATGTACCAGTAAGATTGGTGTGGGACATACTTCACACAATGACATGTTACTGGAACATTCCTAGAGCAGGCTCAGCTGATGTCCTGTTCACAGCTATACAGTGGCTATGGCATTTAAACGCGCACTGTTAACATATTTCTGTCACTGTGGCCACAATGTCATCATATGGAAGTAGTGAGATTTTCAATTACATAATTCCATAAGATATCAGTGTGTTTTGTCATTTTGTTTACTTTACTACTAGCCACAGGGGTGTCTTTAAAAAATGAAAGTGACAGAATGTCACTTAACTAAATACTTTTAAAGTTGATGTTTACTCCTTATTGCATTATTTACATATGTCACAATACAAAAATTAAGATTTTCAAACAGCTGCTAATTAATGGGCATAACAGGTCATCACATTTGTCTGTACACCATGTCCTAAGGTTTTCCCATATTTGTTGTGACAGCTGTTTGTTGTGAAGAGCATTTTAAATGAGCCAATAACAATTATGGAAACAACTTGGATGGCTCAAACTGCAGGCTATCATTAAATTAAACTACCAAAGGGATAGAAATTATATAAACAGTTAATGATTTGCTAAATAGAAATAAATTTATTTCTTGGACTGACTTTAAAAAACAAATGTGCTCATTAAATTAAATTGGAGGGAATGTTGGAATTTAATAAGAGAGAATGGGTAAAAGGAAACATAAATTAAAATGACAAAATCTAGTTTCAAAAAAAAGAGTTATATTTTAGAATTTTATTAAATCTTTATTTAAACGTTACATGATTCCTGCCATCTGAGATTGTAGCAAAATTCAAAAGATTTGGTTTGATATGGAACAATGGTTATCAGATATACTGGGTTTGAAATTTAATACATCAACTTCTAAGGTTTCAGAGGAGTTGGATTATTTTTTAACAGTGTATGACAGTTCAACTTAAATTGAGTAAATCTGCATACTACCCAACATTATCATAGTAGAAAAATAACATTTGAAAATAAGAAAGACAATATCTACTAAAAAAAGAAATCAACAAATTTGTTGAATTTACAGGCCACCAGAGGGCAAAAATGGCCTTCAAAAGCTTGGCTACTCACCACTAACATCCCTACTCCTCCCTCCCTTCCTGTTTTGAATGACTGTGTACACCTCTTGTCATATTTTATCATAAACTGTAAAGCCTGAAAAAAGGTTGACTCTGTGGGAGGGCAGAAGTAAACTAAGTCCCTGCTGCAGTGTGTCGTACTATATAGAAAAATCCCAGCTTTCCACACTTTATTAAATGGCCACTGAAATAGTCCCCCAATGTTGTAATGTGAGCAGCAGAGTTACTCAAGCCTTGCTCCAGCTGCTACTTCCAGGAAATCTGCAAGTGTTTGTGCACAAGGTGCTGACAATAAATTATTTCCTGGCTTGTCCAGATCCAGGACAGGAGAAAGAAGTGTTTCTTTCAGCATAAACATCACTATTATCCATGTTTTTTTGCAGTGTCAACAGGTCACATTTGTTTTCAGCTTGTGCTACAAATTAGATTTTATGTGAGACATGTAGGCTTTTGGAGCATGATTCTGGCTTATTTGTTAAAATACAGTATACTGTGTGTATAGCTAGGTTTTCTGCTAGATACAGTTAGATATGGTTTTGGGCTTTCAGCTGCAACAATACAAAAACTACATTGAAACTTATAGCCATGTTAAAAGAGAGTGGGGGCCACAGGGGAACGTTTCATTCTTAGGACCTTACAAAAGATATTCACGTAGGAAAATGGCTGATGGCTTGACTGTGCTTGTCTGTATTGTACAGGCTGCTGCATTTTGGGAGTGGTAATGATGATTTAAGTTTGTTTTGGCTGACTAAAACACTCACACAAGCACATTCAATTCCACATTCAAGACCAACAAAACCAGTGTATACATGTTGTTGAATGTATAGGCACTTCTTGCATAAACACATCTTTTACCTTGTAATACAGACTAGATAGAATGTACTGTAGGATACATAATCCCTGCTGACTCATTGGGTTACAAGTGGTGGGTGTCAAACTCTGGTACTAAGAGTCACAGGCAATTGTTGTTTACATAATGGTCCCATTTAAAGTTGCCAGTGGGTTTTTTTTTTAACTTGTCAAGCAAGTAAACACTTTGTGTTTGGAAAACAGAGTCCCCCGTAAGGCAAAGGAAGGGCAGTGTGGGCTTCTTTGGGAAGTTGTTCCAAACAAATGATGCACTGGGTTCAGACAGTTCAGAAGCACATCCCCTCTACAGGCTACATCAGTTGACTTCTTCGGCTAAGTTGGATCATAATAAAGACTGTAAGATAGACAAGATAAATTGAAACTATTCATGCACATACCATATAGAACTGTAATATCTAAGATGAACATCTGCCCCAACAAATAAATGATTTCTTTTTCTAATGCTGTTGTTGGTTCTTTTGTTTTCTCTTATAATGTTTAGTAATAGTAGTGGTGTTTCTCTGAGTGCAGGTGGCTGTGTGTGTGTTTGTACAAATAGTGTAAAAAAATAAGAAAAGCCATTTATATCTCTGTTTTCCCTAATTTCTCTGCAAATAATTTATTACTGTCATAAGTGAGTGACAGCCCATTTGTAGCCTGAGTTTACAGAACAATGTAGTCAGGAAGAGGTGGGCGCTCAACTAATGAGTGAAATTGTCAGGTCAACAAGTTATCCTCTGACGTAGATTACAGGGAGGAGGGTGACAAAGGGTCACAATCCATTGTTACAGTGTAAAACGGATGGTGCTGATTAACACTGTTCTTCACCTACTCTGGTTTTGCAATTGTCAGGCAACAGCCAATTCAGCTTATATGCCATTAGAGGGACTAAGGAGCAGAAAATTCTAATAACTTAGAATTGTAATTCTAATAACTTCCTCATCCATTATATTTCAGACCAAATGGACACATCAGCATGATATTTATTCATTATAATTTATGTGATATGTCACTTGAGGATATCACACTGAGTGATCTACAGGTCTAAAACATTTTGTATTGTGGCTAGTTGTTATTATTAGTGTTGGAACATGAATAAAGTATTATTTGACCCCGCATCCTTGCATCAGGGAGGTGGAAACTGAGACACATTGTGAACACGCTTGCTGAAAAACACCTTTCAGTATAAGAGCATCCACAGTATCATATGAAGCTGAACGTCTGCTAATGCCTAAAGCTGGGCTGCTAAGAAAAATCCCAATGAACACATGCAACAACTATCACATTACCTTTTTTGATTTAATTTAACACAAAATACCCATTGCACATTTGTACTGTCCCTTTATAGAGTCAAGTCTCATTCACTCTACATATACTGTAGATAAACAAGGCAAGATGCTTCCTTTATAAAGAAATACAAGCCACCAGGTGGCAATGTGAGACAGCTTTGTTTCTTCATGACTCAGCTTTAACATTTTCCATATCCTCTGTTCTCCAAACACCACCCTCAGTCAGGCTGTAAAAATGACTGTATGAACATCAACTGCTTGCTGTGTTGATATTCTTGGGTGAATCATGTAAAACTCCAATGTGTGCAGTGACACAGATTTGTGTGTGTTTACAAGTACAGTATTTATTTCCTCACGTAGCACACTCAACACTCAGCAGCTGCAGAGCAAGTCCTACGGAGTCAACAAACAAATTTGAAACACAGAGCCATTTTGTAATGTAAACATATGCAATTTCCATGAAATCCTAGAAAATGTAGTGGCTAGATATACAGTACAAGTAAACAATTGGCAGCTGCAAGCTAAATTCAGCTCACTAATCCTTTCCTACGAGAATGAGTCCAGTTTTAGGTTTGTGTTGCTGACAAATGACTGTCCTTTTGAAGATGGGAATTCTGCATGACAAACCGTTGCAATAAATCATTAAATTATTTGCAGACCTCTGATAATACAAGTTACAGCACATTTCTGACATGCTTTATTCCTCTGGCAAACTTACTCTGCTGCACATAGTGAAGGACATTTACATAAAACCATGGTAAGTATGCATTAATATATAACATCGCAGAAGTGTGTTAGAGTCTGAAAACAGACACCCTTAGGCTCAAGAACAAATATCTCTTGCTCCTCTATTGTGACCTTGAGTGTTGGTGATTTTCCCTTAAGGCATAAAACTCAGTCAGTGCTATTGTAAAAACATGTATCCATCTCTCCAAACTTTGGACATGTGTATACTAATTACCAGCCATGGTGTCACAGCTTTTCTAGTCTTTCAAAATTCAGGCTGCAACCTCAGCCATCTAACATTTTTACCATAACAATGCAATGTGCATCACAAAGTTCAGTTTTTTTAAAAGTGCTTACTATGTTTTCAAGCTCACATGTCTACAATAACAACATAACCATAGGATGGTTTGGGGTAAAAATAGAATGCAAAGTGAAATCCCCAAAAGACTAATCTGTCTAAATTTAAATGCATCTATTCAGTCTCTGAAGAGGGTTTTTCTGGTGTTAAGGGCACATTTGTAGCACTAGGTATGTACTGTACACGGAGGCTATTACTATAACAGCTGCAGTGTAAATGTATCCATTAAGAGAGCTCTATGGATATCAAAATAGATTCTGAAGTACTTTTAACAACCCCTCTCCACAAATTTGTGTCAGAGATGTTACAATTTTGCTCGATA